GGCCGGGGTGGGCCCCCCAGCCACAGGCCACGTGAGCTCTGTGCCATGCCTGGCCCCACAGATGGGACTGGGAGGGGTCCTGGCTCTAATCCTCCTCCTCCCTTCCCCTCGTCCCTAGAGCTTGTGTGTGTTTACCACAGCCCTTTGGCTGTCCCTTGGCCCCGTTGTAGCTGGGCTGCAGGAACCGAACCCATTGCTTTGCTGGGGGTGGATTTATCCTGTGGCCTGGCAGGGGTGCCCCGCACACAGCGGGGCTGAGGGTCTCTGCTCCGCTCCGGGGCTCCCCTTCACGCTGGGAGACTACCAGGAGGAGAAGCACTGAGGACAGGCAGGGCAATCAGGGGGAAGGTGAAAGACAGATGGAGCAACCGATGGTAGCTGCCCAAATCAGCCCTGGGCCATATAGAGCTGGATAAAGCACCTTGCCAAAGCAGTCGAGGGGGTCGGTCTCAGAGTAGCCACAGTCCTGGATCCCTCTTGGGGTGGTGGAAAATGTTTCTTTCCGTTCCAGTAGTATCCCAAGATAGCACCAGGCCAGGGCTAGGGAAGAGAAGTCAGGGCAGGTGAGAGGCGAAATCATTCAGCAGCTGAACCTCTCCATCCTGCGGAGGATTTATGATTTGGGCTCGGGGACTCTGTGCGCCACTTCAGCAGAGGAGGCACTTCCTGACTTATCCTGGACGTGGTCTTACACAGGTTGTACGGTCCCTGAGCCCGCAGCGCTGGCGAATTCTCAGCTGGGAGGTGATGGGGGAACAACGCCACCTGATACCTTCACCCAGCCCGGGATTGTCTGCAGCAAGGGGAGAGTTGGGCCCTGGGCTGCTAGTGAGGCTGTGCTAGCGGCTGGGGTGGATTTGTCTGCCTCTATTTAGATGTCTACATATGAGCTAGCTGTCTTGACCTGGGTTACAGACAATGGAAGATGTGATGGTTCCTCAAGTTCATTTCACCATAGATGGAGGCCTGAAATGGGTCAAGTAACTATAGCTCTGGAAGGGTCTGTTTTACTCCAGTGCCTATACATAGAAGTACGGGAGATGTCTGCTGTCATGTGAGATGAATCCTTGCCTAACAGGACTGGCAGATGGATTTTCTGTATTTATTTCAATATGAACTAGGCCCATCAATCCATTCACACGTTCCCCCAACGCCCATCTGCAACTTATCTTTCCTGTTTCAGCAAGGGGCTCACGTATGTGACAAATTACCTGAGTAGTTTAATTCTCTCCAGTGACGTTACTGTAATTGCATGACTCCAAGACAATGTTTTTGTACCTAGTGAAGGGGCAGTTCCAAGGCTTGTCTTAGCTTTGCCTGTTGGTGAGTTACTGGGGGATGTAAAATTACCATATATCCCCTGCTCCCTGGGAACTACCCAGGATGTGAACTCCTCCCAGGTGACCCTGAGGTGCTTCCAGACAGCTCTGCCTGAGCAGAAGACACTGATGCAAATAAATAACACCAATAAAACTATAGTAATTAAATCAACTAGAAGAATGCGTACCATCACCTGAGGTTCAGGGCTGCCTAGGATTTAGGTACATACAGAATCCATCAGTGATGGATGGCGTTTGTAGGGAGATGGGTTTTGCCCACGCTCAGCCCCAGGTAAGTCTGTGCTCAGCTGCTGACATGGGGTTTGAAGATACCTCAGCTGTGAAGGGCTGCACAGCACTTCTCACACCTGCTAGAACAAGCCGGTTCTCCTACCTCTGTAGTGAGCACTGGGGGACTTGATCACTTGCTGGAGCAGTGTCAGGGTCCTGTTGAAGGCGGGCAGCCTCCTGTGCTCCTGGCGACCCTGGGTCATCAGGATGCCGTCTAGCCTGCAACGGGATCTCTGCGTCAAACGGCAGCCCAGCACTGAGCCACAGGGCTCCCCCAGCCCCGGTGTGCCCTGTCCCAACCCCAGAGGTGCTGAGGAAGCCCTGGTGGACCCTCTGCCAAGAGCGGAGAGGAGCATCTCCTTCTTCCTTTTTCCCAGTGTCCGAGGGCCTCAAGGAAAAGGCCACATAGCAGTCTGCGGCTGCAGGACGGAGGTCACGGCTGGGGCACAAGGTTTCTCTCGTGCTCCCCCACTGCGGAGCGTGGGGATGGTCGGTGCTGAGCTCCTGCCAGCTTGGCGCCCTGCCCAGACACACCACTGCTCACCAGTCCCGTAAGCACAGTGCTCACAGCACCACAGTGGACATTAGCACAAAAAGCAGCAATTGTTGCCCAAAGTAGACGTCGGCAGGTTTGGTAGTTGCTTTAAGACTACTGCTCTTGCAGCTCGGAAATAACTTGTCCCTACGAAGGTCTTGTCACAGGCTGGGTTAAGCCCTGACTGTTGCTTTGGTAGCATCCCTTATCCTTTTATCAGGCAGCTAGAAGGCCGCCTGCATCGCTGCAGTAGTGCTGAGGCAGGACTGATGTCTGGCTGCGTGGCACCAGGTCAGCTCCAGGCACACACTTAAATGGGAGATGGCAACACGCTAGGCTGGTTTGAAAGCTGGGGCACGGTGCAGCTCCAGGCCTGGTCCTGACGCATGGAGCAACGCGGCACGAGCAGGGTGCTGCAGCCAGCGCCAAGCGGTGCACCCGGTGCACCCGTGACAGGTCCTGACTGCTCCCTCCTGGCTCCATCTGCGCCCTGGCTGTCACTTACAGCTCAAGCTTTTTGAGTGCAAAGTGTCTAACACTTGGGCTCCTTCAAATGGCTCCGACCCGGGTGGCTGGGCTCACCCCTACTGCTGCTATCCCAGGCTGAAAGCCTTCCCTCACTACGCCTTTTCCTCTCTTTCTGCCAAAAAGATGGTCTCCTGGGTCATTTTCCTTGGAAGGCAGCTGCATGTCTGGTTTTCCTGCACATCAGTGCTTGGGCAACCACAGCTTGTGGCAGCTAGTCCGTGGCTGGCGAGCAAAGGCAGGAGCCAGGCCAAAGCACCATGCCTGGACCGCGTCGGTCCGCTTGGCGCGGTGCTGCTGGCCGGCTTCGGTGCCTGAGCCCGTTCCCGCAATGTGAGCCGGGGGGATGCTAAGGTGACAGGGGGGATCTCCCCTTTTCCCAGCCCCCCTGAACTGCCCGGGGCGATTCCCCGCTCCCCCCGGCGTGGCCGGCGCCTGCCCCGGCAGCTACCGCATCTCCCCCGCTGTACCTAACACCAGGAAATTGTCTTTGGGAGCGAGTGGGGGAGCTATGGGGGAAAACACGCACCGCCAGCACCTCTTCCTCCCAGCGAGGGGACCCGCTTCGATCAGCAGATGCCCCGGAGGTGCCAGGCAGTCCCCTTCCAGCCCCCTTCCCACGCGTGCGCCCAAGGGCTGGCTCCATCCCCTGCGTGTGCCGGGAGAGGAGGGGGCACGGCCTGCAGCGTCCCTCTCCTCCTCGCGTGGCCCCTGTTGGGCGGCTGCAGGGCTTTTTTCACCACTTCCCCAGTGGGAGCCGGTGACGGTGGTTGGAGAGCCGAGGTGTGTTTCTGCCAGCCCGGCCTCCCCGTCGCGCTGAAGGGCGCACACATCCCCCTGCGGCCAGCCCTCTCCCTCCGCGCCACTATTTCTGCACCAGGTGCCGGGTTTTACGCGTTCCCGAAGGCCGTGCTGCCAAGAGCGAGGGCACACCTTTGTTTGGAAAGCCCAGAAAGATACCGCCAAGTCAAAGGACACATGGGAGCAGAGGGAGCTGCACCGGCTTTAACCCTTCCCTGCATGGCCGGCAGCCCCAGGGCAGCGGCGCCCC